TTTGGTCACCCGTCCCAAACAACACAATTGGGATTCTTCGCCTGTGTAGTAATCCAAAATGGCAAGTAATCGAGCTATTAAACTCAACATTTCTAGAACACGGATACTGTAGGGACAATTAATCTCGTGATCGGCCACGCCGGTGTGGCCCCACACATCGGCCTCCTCGTGCAGCTGGTAATCGGCGACGATTTTCCATGCGCATGTACCTTTTTGTGCGAAATCACCAACGCGCAATAAAATAACGGGAGATTTTTGTGGTGGGGCGATGGGTGTACAGTAGTTTGGTGGCAAAAACGGGGTGAAATGGCTTTTGTTGATCAATGAACGCCACGCCTGTGTGGCCCCTTATCGACTGTCACCTCCACGACAGACATCGTTCCCTATCCCCATGGCCATGTCACCCCTGTGCCCCTCCTCTGCTGTCATTTTTAATTCGTCTTTTCAAAATGCGCTTATTGCCCCAGACCATGGCGCAGGGTATCCGTCACCTTGCCACTGTGGAAGAAGGTGTGACACCCCTCATGGATGTTTTTTGCGTATCTGCGCGCAACGCAACATTGCGTGAAATGAAAAAACAGTACAAGCGTCTTGCCGTTCTCGTCCACCCCGACAAAGTGCGGGCAGTTCAACCGCGCTGTGCGGACAGGTGTATGAAAGTACTCAAGCGTGCCATGCAGCAGGCGGAGAGCTAAGTTCGGTACATAGAAATCGATGAGGATATTCAGTGTGGTAAGGTCGTGTTACTGCCGGCATTCATCGCGTTTGGCAAAACCTCTTCCGAAAGAGAGTTCTCTCTCGACAAAATGGAACGCGCTGCGCAAGAGAAACAAGACAATGTCAGGGAGACTCAACGCCAAAGAGAATGCTCGAACAATGAAGAGCACGAGAAGGCTTCGAAGGGCGCGTCAGACGTTTGCAGTGACAGCGAGGAAGACGCTGTACGGGAGAGGCAGGCGAGAACCTGGAAGCAATTGCAAAAAGAGAGAGAAGAGGCAGCTAGGGCCGCTCAACTGCAGAAGGAGAGGGAAGAACGAGCAAGGGCTGCGCAGCTGCAGAAGGAAAGGGACAGAGAGAAAAGGAAGAGAACAGAGAGAGAAATGGCTTCTCACTTGCGGGCGGTGCTTGAAAATGATGGTACTGACAAGTGTAATATAACCCCCTGGGACTACATTTAGATTAGATCAGCTACTGTAGAGCCCGAGCTCTACAGTACGACGCGCACGAGCGCGCGTGCTGTCAGCACCGAATGCTGACAGCCCTACAGTACGCGCGACCCGCACCCACTACTGTAGCCGACCACAGTAGCACTATAGTACAGTACGTACTGTACTGTAGTATGATAGACTAACTTGTACATTAAATACGTGAGCGGACCGACGGTGACGGGGGAGGACAAGCACGAGCTTGTCCAGAACCTACGCCTTTGGTCAAGCTCGCCCCGCTTATTCTAGATCGGGTTGCATACAATAGCCCGTATCTAGTTAGGAGCCGAGCGGGCAGGGGACGCGCGAGCACACGAGCGAGCCTAGGTCCGCCTCCGCCCGTCAGCGCTGGTACGTAACCCACCGCTGCGCCGGGGCGTCGAGGCGTAGATCGACCAGCCCGTGCGCGCGTCCCCGTCCGAACCCGCTCTACCATCACGCTACCCGAGCCCGCTTTCCGGTTCCGTTAGCTGGGGTTGCTTCCCTTCTCCGATCGGGGTCTCCGCAAGAACTGAGTATACACCTCCCTCCGTTGGGGGTGTTTATACTACAACAAGGATGGAGAGGATGAAGATAGTATGTCCAACGGTGAACGTAACGATGATGTGGACGAGGTAGAGAAATGTATAGCTCCACCACCATCCCGTCGTCTTTTCGGCCGATTTCGCGGCATAGCAGACGATCCTTCTCGCGAGAGCAGCGCGGACAAAATGGACGAGGAAAATGTCAGCAAGGATGGCGAAAATTCAGGGGTGTTCGCAGACGTGGAGAGAATGGAAGAATGCATCGACGGAGTACAATTTGAAGATGGAGGAGATGATCTTGGGAGTGAGGCAGGAAGGAATTTCGAGGAAGACAGAGAGGTGGCCGGGTGCTTGGAAATTGATTCCGAAGAAGACGTTACGTCGGACGAGGACTTCGACCCGAAGAATCACATTGCAATCGAATGTGAGGAAGAAGAAGAGGATGTCGAAGAGCGCGCTGCCGATCCTATTCCGGATGATATCGACAAGAAAACCCGTCGAACGCTACAGGAGCGCCAATCGAAGCGACGAACCATGATTCGTGCGAAAGATGCAGTGCGAGCAGATCGATTGCCTGCCATGACAAGGAAGCCCCGTCCAATTTTGGACGTTAAACCGAAAGTGGGGATCGCCTTGAAGGGCCGGTGGAGATGTGAGCAGCTGATTAGAGCACAAACTGCGAACCTCGGGGCGCAACGGGGAGTTAACATTATGCAGAATACTGTCAAAGTGCGCATGAAGTGCCGCACAGATGGGTACCATGCGACTTTTGTTTTCGATTGGCAACCGAGGACCGGTTTTTGGAAACTAAACAAGTTCCAAGACCACCTCAATGAGTGCTTCGGGCAACATGTCGCGGACAGTCCAATGAAAATTGCGTCAAGATCGTCTTCTTGTGCCCCTGCATATACCCCACATCAGATTGCCCGAGCAATTTTAGAACACGTACAAGACGATCCGAATGTGCCTTGCAAAACGATCGCTTCCGTTGTCCGAGCGAAGCGCCTGTATTTGCGTCAGCCTCCATATAGTCATTATCGGCGTATTCGGACAGAGTTGCTCCGTCATTTCACCATTTCGCGCGCCGTAGACATGGCCGCATTGGAAGGTTACGCAGATGCGCTCAGAGGGGTGGGGCATAAGGTAGAAATGTTTACTTGCTGTGCAGCGGAGATGAGGGAACAACGGATTAAGGCGGCTCGTCATATATTCGAGCAGTGCAAGAAGGCAGACAATTTACCGAAGGATGCTTCCTTTAATGCCGCAGATGTGGACGTATCTGATATAGGCGACGGTCGCTATTACAGGGGATTGCTGTTTGTTCCTTCTTCCGCGCAGAGTTACTGCCAACATGGTCGACGAACGCCCAGTGCGGATGCCGCACACTGCGAAGGGGTAGGAATGCCGTCGACTGCATTCCTACCCCTTCGCAGTGTGTACCCGATTACCTGAAAAGTAGACCCATACGATCGTATGGGTCTACTTTTCAGGTAATCGGGTACGATGCAAATCATCAGCTCTGTCCTTTGGTCTTTGCGCACTTCGTGGGTCCTGAGAACAAAGAGTCCTGGGGAAAGGTCTTTCGGGCATGTAGAGAAATTCCGGGATTTGACATTAATGGGAGGGTGACAATTGTCAATCAGGAAAAGTCAATCGACGCAGCCTACCCGGACGCCATAAGTAATGCGCCGTTATTCCTGGATCCTCTTCATGTTAAAAAAACATGTCCGCGCGATTAGGATCTAACAAGGGCGTTGGAATACGGTTGTATGAACGAGCAGTATATGCTCCGTCTCGAGAACAGGTGAACGCTCTGAAAACAGATTTTTCTGCGACACAAAAGACCTATCTGGATAGATTCGAAGATTCTGAAGTGTACAGGGCATTTTCCAGCTTAGAAGGCCGTATAACAACTTCACGGTGGCTGAAAGCCACATGTCAGCTGATCTTAGGAATCATATTCGTTCCGTGGAGCCTCAGAAGATGCTTTCAAGGGTTGTGCTTCTGCAGAGAACAAATTTTTTGCGTCGCCAGAACAGTGCCCTGTCTTGTAAATCTCCCGTCCCTCCTCGCACACAGAACCATCTCGCATACCTAATTCAGAGAGCTCACGTATATCGGTCTTCTGTGCATTTTCTGGATGGTACGTCGCAAATGGAAGCCACCGTCGCTAGTCAGCAAAATGGAACCGTTCTGCGGCTTGTAAGGCTTAGCAATAATACCCAAACCCCCCCTTCTTGCTGCGCTTACTCTACAAATGGGTCTGGATTCCCCTGTTGGCATGGCGTCTCTGTTCTTCTCGAAAAGTATGAACCAAGCAATCTCTATCGGTTTATTGAAGCGCGTCATCTAACATATGCCTGGGTTAGGCAGTACGCCAATATGGAGTATAGTCTTCCTTCACAAGCAAGGGTCGACGACATTTTATTCAATGCGAAGAAGCTCGTTACTACGAAGGAGAACCTGCAAATTCCAAAAGCTTTGCCGCCGCCAAGGGGTCGTCCGGTTAGGAGGGCTGGTAGGCGAAGAAAAATCTGGTACGAAAAAGGCCCTGCTGCGAAGAAGAAGCGTGTGTACTCCTGTTCTTTGTGTCGGATGGCAGATCACACAGTGAAGGACTGCTCTCTGAAACAGCTGTATGGGGATACTGCAGAGTAGCCCAGTAGCTGCTCTTTTAGTAACGCCTTCGTATCCGATTTCGCCTGTCATTTAGTACAATTTATAGCACCGTCCACTTTGTTCAGATTCTGTCGCCCCTCACGAACAACCAAATTCTTTTCTGTCACCCTCATGTTGAAGACGTCACCCATACGATCCCTACAAATATTTCTCAATCGGATGGGTGCCTCAGCAAATTTGACCGCGTCACCCCCTCAACACTACAAGAAAAGCCATTTCACCCCCTTTTTGCCACAAAAAAGACCACGATCGCCCCACTAAACGCAAAATCTCCCAACATTAAAATGAACCTCTGTTTAGGCTCGGTTGCAGCCTTGAAGCTCTAATATAAATCACGATTAGTTGAGCCCATGTCGGCAACAGTAGAACACCGGGATTTTTTTCGCGAAGGAGCCAAAAATGAAAGCTGGAATGAAAGGGCTGGATGAGGGTCATGAGTCATGAGTCATGACCCGCCCATGTTAGATGTCTGTGATTTAATTTTGGAAGCCTCGGAAGACGTTTCTGAGAGAACGCTTGCCAGATTTTGGATCAAGGCAGACCAGACCTTCTGCCACGAAGCGCCAATAAGCTGATTGGTATTCACGGAAAAATGAAGAGAGAAAAAACGTTTATTGAAGGAGATATATCTGCTATCGCGAAAATCCTTTCAAAAGCCTACCACCAACATCAACGTCACCGTTCAGTACGTCCCCACCAAGGGCCCGGTCATCTTGCGCACCGACGCCAACGTCAACGCCGTCGTCGACCCGGACACGCTCGAGCTCCACCAGTTCTTCTCCTTCACAGGCATCAACCCGGCCCTCAAGGGCGTACGTCCCGGAGCCTGACCAGACTCGCATTGCCGTGCAACTTGCATCCATCGCCTCCACCTATACGCCCGGCCAAAATCTCATCGGCTAGCAGCAGGTGACAGTCTCCTTCACGGATTCGGTAGGGCAACCATGCTGCTCGCCCTCGCTCTGCCACTGCACGCCGGACCCGAGCGGGGGTGGCGGAAGTTCGACGTGCGATAGCGGCTTCCTCAGAGCTCAGCGCTGCGCGGCTGTTGGGCAAGTCCTCATCAGGGTTTTCGTCGTAGAACCTGCCATAGCAGTCACTTGTCACTGTCAGTCTGGTGACCCCACTCTGTGCTATAGTGATGGTTCCCTCTGAGACGCTGCTTTCCGCCGAGGACTTTCCCGGCTCTGAAAAGCTGATAGCGAATCCGTTGTCCTGTGGGGGCACCCTAGTGAATAATGGCTCTAGCCTGTCCCATGGGTCGGGTAGGCCGTACCAACCTGAGAGAACCTCTCTCGGCGTTCCAGTATGGTATGAAGGCACTGTCCTAAGATGTCCGGCCTCAGCAGCCACCCACTTATCATTCATTGTGATGCGGAGGAAGAAGTCGTCCGGTAGGAACAGCACGCAGTTGGGAATCTGAGTCGCACTAACGGGTCCTACGGTACGACCGTCACTTTTGGCACACTCTCGGAAGAGCGCAAAGAAGCAGTTCCCACGCTCCGAGCGCTAGCACGTATGGGTTCAATGAGATGGCCCTAATGGCACCGTCCACGCTCAGACGGCTGGCCATCGCAATCCACCCTAACCCTTTCTCAGATTTTGGGTTCTTAAGGCTCACTCCTACACGCCTGCACGACTCTAGCTTTGGATACTTGATGCGGGGGTGGTGCCCGTTGAGCCTTAGTGTCCGCGGTTCAGCAATGGTGTGGAGGAGCCTGTCCGTTCTCTTGTCTATGAAGCAGCTATTTCTGCACGACCCCACGATAAAAGAGCGGAGCCCTCTAACCACGCTATTCATGAGGACCTTCTCCAAGTCAACCCATATTGCGGTGTTGCTAGAATCGTACAAATCTACGAGGTACGCGAACATCGATATAGACTCGTCCCCTTCTCTATAACCCCAACTTTAATGGCAACGTCACTCCCTCCTGCCAAGTCTCCACTCCGGGGAGCCAGGTTCCCGTCCACGTACCCCCCTACGGTCTGTCTTCTACCGTGATAGCAGGCCTGGGGCCACCAAGTCGGGCACAGCGCGTGCGTTTTAAGCCAGGGCGGCGCACACGTATCCTGGAACCACTTGGCCATTGACCTCCAAGCATCCCCCGTTTGTATAGGCCTAGCATGCCAGCTGAGCACACTCACTCCCGGACTTGTCGGGATCGGCAGATCAAATAAGATGGGAACGGGCAGGCTACGCGGATCACAACCCTCCTCGTACAACGTCACTTCTCCCCTCTCTACCAGCCTATGAACTCGTCTATCATATCGCTCGAAGCCCCGGCATCTCCCGGCCATCCTTCCTTGAGGTCCGTAGACCAAGGGGCCACGTACATATCGCAAACCATCCGGATGCGTACGGTCAGTTCTCGGATGTCGGCTATGAGTGTCCCTTCATCGTCTATGACGAAGCATCTGTCCATTTTGTAATCCGGCCTAACTGGGATGTCAGCAAAGGCGAGGTCACTCTCGTCCCATGGTACAGGCGTAGGTCCTTTTCCCCGGCTGCCACCGTGTCCACTCTCCCATACATCCGAGATTCTGCTACGTGGAATGTCGTAAAAACTAATTTCCCCTTTGACTCCATACGTCGGCAGGGGGTCATCCTCACCTAAAACGTGGATGACGTCGTCATCACTATCTTGACTTCCCTCGGACCACGGTGAGTCGGGCCTACACGGGGGGGTCAGTGGCGCATCTCCCCATGTTCGGGGGCTCTGAAATGCACTGCCATCCCCGGCCGTACGGTAGTCGTTAAGCGATGGATGCAGTCCTCTCACCATGGGGTGAGGATCTTCCGGGTCAACATACCGGATAGCCTGCTCGCCGCACCTACAGTGACCATCACACCCCCTGCACCTCCGGCATGTTGCCGGGGATCGGCACCTACTAGCGGCGCACTTAGTGCAGGCACAGTGTGTTTCGCACCTACCACACTTAGAGCATCCCCACCGGTTGAAGAATAAATGAGCAAAGAGCTAAATATTTTCAACACTTGTCATTCAAATACTGGTGCGCATGCCCAGGTGCATTTGTTCACATTTGGCATTTTAGCTCCGACATCAACACACTCCACCGGTGTTGCCAGAGCTAAATGCAGAGACGCACTCAAATGGAGCAGTCTTCATTGGAGGAATAGTTAAATCCTCTGGATTTCGGCTGCTCTGTGCCGGCCATTATTGTGATGGGAACGAGGCTCGAGATGGAAGAGGCAATGATTGGGTGGGTTGGTGAGAGCATGTTCTGCACCTGGGAGAGCGGTGTGCGAAAGGGAGCGCATAAACAGGGTGGTGGTTGGGCAAGATCGCATGTACCTTGCGAATCGATGCAGGAGAGGCGCAGGTTGGAGAGGGAAGCGCGGCAATACGCGAGTGAAACATGTACCCAAAGGTAGGAGAACGGGAAGTACCCTTGGTACTGTACGAGCAGATTCCCGCTACCAGAAACCAATACAGGGGGGGGTCGCGATATAGTGCTACCCTGTGTCAGTGGGCCGGAAACAGCACTATATCGAACCACGCACTGTTAGATAATGAGATTTACGGCTTTTTTGCAGCCACTTCCTTGCATCACTGCTCAGAAAGACCGCTCGCAGGACGCCATCACTCATGCTTTGTATCTTCACTACAGACTCAAGTCTAATCAAGCATTTCTGTTATTAGTAGCTGCCGAGCCGTTGCATTGACTTCCTCCTTTTTCGCCGCCATAAATGCCAGCCTACACTTTTGCAGATGTCCAATTGCATCATCGACCCTGCCTTTTTCCGCCATACTTTCTATTCGAGTTGGCAACTGCATAATATCTTTCCGCGGCGGCAGCGGCTCTCGGGCAGTACACACATGTCCATCCAACTGCCTCCCTGGAGACCCTTCGTTTTTGGCTCAAAATTCGTGCCACACGCAGAAGGGTAGCACTATATCGGAGCTGGCACTAACAAATATGGCACTATATCGCGACCCCCCCTGTAACTGCTTCGCACTTGTGTCGTGCACTTTTGGCTCTGGGCTATTTTCGAGGTGCAAAACCGACCGATTTGCACCCTGGAAATACCCCCGGGCTAAATAATTTTACCTTTTAACTCCCCGGTGGAGCGGATTCACCAGGGTGTAAAAGCTAAAATTTTACCTTTTAACTCTTTGCTCATGCCGGTGGGGATGCTCTTATGGATGGAACACCAGTGGGGATGATCGAGTTTTAGGAAAGAGCCCAAAAACGTATTTTGGTCTGGCCAATAGTAGCACAACAGATTTTGGTCTTTGGGCTGAGATGCGGTGGGGATGCTCTCACACTCTGAAGTCCAGTCTCAAGCATTACAGTAGTCAACGACAGCATCCGCTGTAAACACCTCTTTACTGCTGCCCCGTTTTCATTACAGTATCTCACCGTTTTTCGCACCGGCTCCCCAGCAGAGCTGAATTTATACGCAATTAGAATAAGCAGGGCTGCTCTCGCGCCTTGGAACCAGCGATGTGCGCTTCTTTTTGGATCTACCCAAATCTATTGACTTATGAACAACGATCCGTGTTCAACGGAGCGGGCGCAAGGGCAGAAGCGGACATACGCGGGTAGACGTTTGTCCGCCTTTTTAAGACAGGCCTGATCCCGTGAACGTTCTGAGGATCACCCAAGTGGCAGTTCTGGACGAAATACTGCTTTCAGAGTTCTTTCTTGGGTATGGCGTATCCGTGCCCCCCCATAAATGACACATTACGCTCTTGGTCTAGAGAACAGAATGAGAACTGCTTTGCCAACTTGCAGCTTCCGCCGACTCCTCCGCTCGTCTCATCCGTCTACACGGGGCATTCGAGCACCGGGCACACTATGATTGAGATTTTACCTGAACGGACAAGATTCATCGCTTGGTCCGACTTTGACGATAAGGTAAAAGCTGCATGCAGGGACTCCAAGATTCTTATCGCTTCCCTCCCCGAAACCGAGAGATTGGAGGTTGGGGCAATGTTCATTGGAGCTAGACAGCAATTGACAGAGAGTTACATCGTACCCACAGAGACTGATACGTTGCATATTGTTTCGAATGCTTCTTGTTCTGTGGCTCGTGTTTACGAAAAGCTCGACCACAAGCAAACATTGGTTACCGCTGGTCACAACGAGCGCATACCATCGTCTTTGTTCCGCTATGGTGGGTCGCCACCGATTGATTTGGTATTTCGTCGGTCTCCAGGCTTTATGTTTTCGGAAAGTAAGAACAAGAACCAAGAACAAATCATTCTGGTGGTAGGAGATCTGAAGCGGCCATCAATTCCACTCACTCCAACTCCCGTCCAGGAGAATTCTTCAGGACATGTTGCCGCCACGCATAATGACGGATACAAAGAAGAGGGGAAGAGCTGGTACGTCAGCATGATGTCGCAGGCTTTGATACACGCCATGCACACGAAGAATGGGTGCGTCTTCTTAACAAACCACAACGACACCATCTTCATGAAGGTTGGAGCGCACAGCGGGAGGAGCGGATGGAAACTGCAGGTTGAGGTTTCCAGGTTTTACAAATGTAACGCGGACGAATCCTCGTTTCATGCCATCATCGCGATGCTCCGCGAATGCGAGACAAGCTCCAACAGCAGCGATGAATTGCAAGCAGCGTTCAATGATTTTCAGAAGACTCGCCTGAGGAAGAACCCGCGTGAAAGCTCTGGGACCAATGAAAGTAGTCGCAACGTTTTGAAACCCGAGAAGATAACAAGAGGGCTGGGCTCTCGTGTCACTGAGGCGACATCTGGTCGTAGTGGGACGAAAGCTGCAAATACGGCAGCATGTATCCAGAACAGACATATGCGTCCGAAAACCCAGGACTGCGCATTATTTGAACAAGATGCAGCACAGTTATATCAGCCAGAACTGATCCGCCGTTTAATGGAGGCTTCAGATGACATCATCACGACGGACGGGCACTCGACGGTGTTGCGGAGCTGGAATGGTGACATGGAAGTAGCCGTGAAGTACTGGAACTGCGCTAGCCAAGAAGGATTAGATATGATCGTGAACGAGGCTGAGGTATACGAAGAAGTCGCGGATACATGTCCACACTTGTTGGGGACGGTGTTACCGCGTGTAGTGGCGCTTTGGAAGGAACCGGAAACGGACACAGTGGTTGTGACAGAGCATGTGGGAGAATCTTTGAGTATAGAAACGAACGAAAACGGGCTCAATGAAGTGTTGAGGTGTGGGAATGTTGTGCTTGACAGCAGAGATAGTGAATTGCTAACACAAGCGGCGCACGAAGCACTTAGAGAGCTTCACGAGACTGGATTGCGCCACATGGACATCGGCACGCGGAATATGAGGGCGAAACGAGAGATGGATGAGAAGGGAGTAGTGACCTGGAGGGTGTGGTTTATTGACCTTGGGTTGGCGTACTTTTCACAGGATGACCGTGATAAAGGACAGGATGACCGTGATAAAGGACAGGATGAGAACGATCTACGACGTGCATGTGCCACCAAGTTCAGTAGATCAACATGTGACACTGCCGCACCCGTGGATTCCAGCGAATCGACGAGTGACGGCGAGAATGAGGATTATTTCCCTTAGAATCCAGTACACCATATCTGGTGCATAACCATGTACAGCAGTCGTCCTTGACGAATAGCAATAGCACAGCGCAGTGGGCAGTAAAAAGGAGGTTATAGTCCAATCGAGGACACCAAATTTCAGAAGACGGTCAACTCATGTGCGGCCGATTGTCAGTAACAGACTGCAAGATGCAGAACGACAGGAAGATCAAAAGCATTGAAACCTCTCCGCAAATTAGCAGTGAGCTTCAGACTATCTGATCACTTCAGTTCATTCCGACATGTAGTGACCATGTTTGGGATACGCGTGCGTTACCCGGCTTTCACGTGCAAACTGCACAGAGAAGTTCGGTGTAATACGCATGAAGCGCCAGTTGTATGAAAAGGATCTACACGGGTGACGACATACACGCCAAGACTCTTTACTAAACAAATTGATGCTTTCTTTCATCTCGGAAAGTGTGTCTGACTGCGATCTCTCTGTTCTCTACCGGACGTGCAAATGAGTAGTTTCAATAACCTGTTGCAGGATAGTGTAGAATAGCTTCACGTACAGTATTCCTTCCTCACTTGTCCTCACTCCAATCTTTTCCCTGCACTGAATGCGAGATGCCATGCGGCAAAAAACTGTGAAACCAAATTCTACCTGTGAGAGCACACGTGCGCGATTTGATCTAGGTACAGTAGATACCCGTCAATAGTGCACCCTCGTGCCATCAGCTATAGCAGGACGGCCATGTCATGATTGATCTGTCCTTGCTCAACGGTTGCAAAATTCTGCAAGACCTTCGAATAGAAAATATAGCGCGGGGAGGCGACATAGCCCACGCCATACCCGTGCGATCCACACTCCCCAACATAGCTGATGACGGCGCCCGATACTCGACCTCTATGCCAAAGGCATCATCTCGGGTGCTGACGGATATAGCCTTGGAGTTCGCTGCAGTCTCGCCAAGAATACGGGAAGGAGCATACCAATATGTGTATGGTCTTTCCAATAACGGCGGGAAGCAGTTTAACGGTAGTATTGAAAAGCGGATGTAGACACCGGAATCGTCAAGTCTTATGTTGCACCGCAACAGACTTTGGGAGAACCCATTTTTATCCCAGACCCGAATGGTATTGAAGTGGATGCGGGCTGTCTTGTCGTGCTGGCATTGGACAACCTGAAGGATAGCTCTGCCTTACTCGTTCTGGACGCTCGCACTATGACTGAGGTCGCACGCGCTGAGCTGCCCATGCGGTTACCGCCAAGCTTCCATGGAACGTTTCACACATGATGTGCCGATGATGGGTCTTCAGAACTCAGAGATAATTTTGCGCCAGTGGAAGAGTGGCTGTTTATCATTACAGGGGTGGTGACGCGCAATAGTGCCGCTTTCATTATTGCCACCCTCGAATTAGTGCCGCCAAAACCGGCAGACACAGGTTCTGCCACGTGTCATGCACGACGTCGTCATCGGCCACTCCTCATGCGCCTCAGCTCACTTGGTGACGTGATGGCACCTCACTCAAAGACCCTAACATGAATCCTGAAAAGATCGCCAAAGCGAAGCGTACGCGCCTTACAATTGCACAGAAAATCGAGGTTGGGCATCTGCTGCAGGTCGGAAAGTTGGTCGAAATCAAACAGAAATTGATAAATCTATGGTGGATGGTGTAGTAGGGTTTCTCCGACTGAGCCTGGTGCCAGAAGACGGCCTTGCAGAAACTGCAGAATTCCGCAGGAAAGATGTGGAGGAATGGATTCAGATCGAGACTAATGAGCTTGTGGCAGAAGCTTCTATTAGTGATGCTTGCGATTCAATACATTATGGTGGAGAGCTACAGAATCAGTCTGCTAGTGATGCTATGATTTTAGCGGTGCGCAGGGTTATTAAAATGAACAGAGTGACTTACTTGTGTTGAATGGTTTTGCAAAGCGGTTCTTAAGTTGGACACACTTGGGGTTGCAGGTTGGGTGGCTCTCAGGGTTAGTGAGTGGTTGTGCCTGGCCCCTTTTGCTTTCCTCGTCCGAACGCCGCGCCTTTTATAGAAATCGTAGCTGAAAATTAGAACAATACAGTACCTGCTAGAATATAATAAACTATCCTTTCACTCTACAACTAATCTCCATACAATTGCTTATGTCTTGCCTTCAATCTTCCCGACCATCCTCTTTAGTACTAGTGGATACTGTACTCCTCCTTTGACAATTCTTTTAGGTATGGCATAGAAATTATGTTGTAGTTCTATGCCATCCTTTTAAAGAATGGAGGAGCCAGTCTATTCGGGAAGGACACGCGCAGTATGTTTATACAAAGTAAAATTACAAAGACATATATACTGTGCTTGTCCTTCAACTGTTACAACTCCTCCCCCTCTGTCTTGAAGTATGTTTCCTGAATTTTCTGATACTAAGAAATCGATAGAGTCTTGAGTGCTGCTGTGGGAAATGATGTCAATTGTAGGCGGCATCTTGTCTTCGGTCTGAAATGTAGACTCGCGACCGATAGTTCTTCTATGTTGATCATTGTAGTATGGCTTGAGAAGAGATATGTGGAATGTAGGATGAAGGTTTTGACATTTCTCTGGTAGTTGCAACTTGTATGCGTTTCCGGACGCTAGGATGTCGATGACTTCGAATGGTCCAATGTACTTCGGTAATAACTTTTTGCTTCTTCCTGTCTTGAGTGGTAAGTTCTTCGTCGAGAGCATTACTTGGTCTCCTAGGTGAAATAAATGATCTCTTCTGTGTTTGTTGACTTGTTCGGCGTTTCGTTCGTTCGAAGCTGTGATGGACAGCTTTGCCATTTCATTAGCTCTTCTTATGTTCTCCAAAAACCTTTGTGTGGTCACATTAGGTGTTTCTGATCCATCAGAGTGAAGGACGTCAGAAACAGAGAGTGGTGCTGACCATACTCTAGGAAAAAAGGAGTTTGTTTAGTTGTGTCACTTATGTGATTGTTGTACGCAAACTCGAGTCCTGGTAGGTGTTTACTCCAGTCTCTTTGCGTATAGCTAACAAAGCAACGTAGCATTTCTTGCAATGTGCTGAATGCCCTTTCTGATTGTCCATCAGTTTGAGGATGGAAGGCGGTTGATAAGTTTAACTTGACTCGTAGTAGCTTCATGATTTCCTTCCATAAAGTACTTGTGAATCTTGTGTCACGGTCTGATATTATCTTTCTTGGAAGACCGTGATGTTTGTATATCTCGTTGTAGAACACCTCTGCTGTATTTTTGGCAGTATGGTTTGATTCAATTGGAATAAAATGCGTGTGTTTCGAGAGTTTGTCCACAAAAACAAGTATAGCAGTTTTGTTCGTATTCGTCCTCGGGAGATCGAATATGAAGTCCGTAGATATCTGTTCCCATTTCTTTAGTGGTGGCGGAAATGGTCTGAATTTTCCCAGTTTGTTCTGGGTTAGGCTTTTGGCTTCTTGACACTTTGGGCATGCCTTGATGTATTCGTGTAGTTCTTTGTTCATGCTAGGCCAATAAAAATGTCTGCTGACATATTGTAAGGTCTTTTTGAATCCTCGATGTGCACCAAAGAGAGATTCGTGATTGTCGTGCAACACGATTTCTCTGATCTTTCCTTTCGGAATACAGAGCCTATTCTCAAAGTAAAGGCGGTTTTTGTTCTTACTGAACGGAGCAGTTGGGGTTTCAAACGCATTCTTGAAATCGGGGTCCTTTCTGTACTCCCGTTCAAGGCTTTTGAGAATATTTTCATCCACCTTTACCAGTGTAAATGCTATCAACTGTTTCACAACACTGGCTGATGTCTGGTGCACTTCCTGGTAATGTCTCGATAATGCATCAGCTACTGTATTCTGCTTTCCCTTGATGTAATCAATGTGGTAGTCGAACTCTTGCATGAATTCAACCCATCTGGCTTGTTTTCGGGATAAGGTTCGTTGTGAATCCAAGTATTTCAATAGTTGATGGTCAGTCAGTATCTTAAACTTTGAGCCGTGTAGGTATGGTCTCCAAGTTTGTAAAGAGTACACAATAGCAAGAAGTTCTCTTTCATGTGTGCTGTATCCTTGTTCTGCTTTATTCAGTTTCCGTGAAGCGTATGCTACTGGGCGGCATCTGGTTTCGTCAGTTTGCGTCAAGACAGCACCAACACCTGTTTGAGATGCGTCAGAAGTTACTTCATACGGTAAACTGGGATCTGCGTATCGAAGTACGGGACCCTCTGTTAGTTTGCTCTTCAGTTCTTCGAATGCTCCTTTTTTGATGGCCCCCACTGAAAAGGTGTACCTTTTCTTGTTAGATTAGATAAAGGAGTTGCTATCGTCGCAAAGTCCTTTACAAATCTCCGGTAGTAGTTACAAAGACCAAGAAAGCTTTGAATTTGCTTTAAATTACGAGGAGCTTCCCATTTTTGAACAGCTTCAATCTTCCTTGGGTTCACTTGAATACCATTCTCACTTATTATGTGGCCAAGGTACTCAAGATTATGACAAAGGAATTTACACTTTGAAAGCTTGCCGTATAGTTGATGCTCCTTCAATATTTGCAGTATTGTCCTAAGATGGTTCAGATGATCCTCTTTCGTTTTATGGTAGATAAGGATGTCGTCTAAGTAGACAAGGACAAAACTATCTAAGTGTGGTCTGAAGATATTGTTCATGAGTGTCTGGAAGCATCCTGGAGCCCCTGTTAATCCAAAGGGCGTTACTAGGTATTCTTATTGACCATATCTAGTCCGGAATGCTGTCTTTTGAATATCAGCATCCCTCAACCTTATTTGATGATACCCCGATCTTAGATCAATGGTGGGGAAGTATTTCGATCCTCCTACTTGATCCCATACTTCATCGATTCTCGGTAAGGGTACTTGGTTCTTAATAGTCTTTTTGTTGAGTGCTCGATAATCGATGCACATTCTTAGGCCACCGTCTTTCTTTGGAGTGAACAAGACAGGGCTACCCCAAGGACTTATACTTGGGCGTATGAATCCATTTTCAAGGGCTTCTTCTAGTTGGTTCTTCATTTCTTCCAGCTATTTTCTTGAAAGTTTATAGATGGGACCCGTTTTGGGTCTTGCATCCATTTCTAAGTCTATTCTCATTTCAATAGATCTTTTCGGAGGCAATCCTTTAGGCAGATTTTGCGGGAATATGCATCTGTATTCTCCCAGGAGTCTGTCTAACTGTTTCATGTAATCGTCCTTTTCACTAGACTCTATAGTATTTTCTCCTTCCTCTTGAGAAGGCTTCAATACGACATGATATATGGTGCTTTTCTGCTTTTTCGCTAACCTCACGAACTGTTTACTCGTAAGCATGTATGTCAGGCGGGCTTCCCCATGCTTATGAGCCTCTGCGTCCAGAGTTAGTAACCTTTCTTCCTGTTTAAGGAGCATACGGTTCATTTTTTAATCGATTAAAGGGTTGGCTTCGGATAACCACGCTTTGCCTAGGATTAAGTCGTAAGCAATCCAGTCCACCACGTATGGCCGTACGGTAATGGTAGCTTCCCCAATCCGTATGATAAGGTTCTCGCAACACCGTTCCATAGGAACAAGTGTTCGGTCCCATAGTTCTGCACTCAGGTTAGTATTCTCCTTTCTCAACTTCAATTTCTCTGCATATGCCTTTGATATTACTATTTCTTCGCACCCACTGTCTACCAGAATAGTGCAACGGAAATTGTCGGTTGCATCTTGCACCTTCCCGTTGAATACTAGTAGAGCTTGCCTCTTTGTATTTCTTCTCTTCTTGTATGGTGAGAATGTACATACTTTGACGGGCTGTTTACCGTTGTTCTCTCTTGAATACTGCTTCTTTTTGTCTTTTTGTTTTTTATCATTTTTTTGTGTTTTTGTAGTTTTGTCTTCGGCTATAGTACATTTATCCGCCAATGTGCCGACTTCATTTAACGGAACAAGTAGTTTTTCTTTTGGGTGAACGCGTTAGGTCTAGGCCTCTGAGTGTTTTAGTGGTTTCTGTCTATGCAGTTTTGTTTACCACAGACGAAGCATAACCTATGCTCAATTCTTCGCGATTTTTCTGCTGGGGACAGTTTCGTACTTCTGCGCGGTTTCATGT